ACAACATTTAAACGTGGTTCTGTAGAAACACGTTTTATTCCATTAACAGTTAATATTGGTGATATAACAGAAATCAATATTGATTTTAAGAAAACAGGCAATTTAATTTCATCAACATGGTATTCATCAACTTGGGCATTTACTAAAGCTGTTGTACTCAATGGTGATCAACAACAAAGGTACATTATCATATATTTATTTGATAATTATTAATATTTTATTCTATTGTATTCTAGTCGTAAATTCTGTTCAGGTGGAACAATTACATCCTCCGGTCCTGCTGTTCGATTTGCTTCATGCTAATATTCTTTCATTTTGATTGAAATGTTCCTTTTTTTTTTTCAAATAAAATATTATAACATACACTACAATAGTGTAGAATTATACTGATGACTACTCTTATACCGATTTTCAGCGTCCTCTTTTGTCAAGGTTTTCGAATGAAGAATTTGAAAAAAAGGCTAAAAGCGAACACGTAATGATAAAATAATGAAAAGAAAAAAAACATGATTAGATAAATAGATAAAAGATATCTCTCTCGCGTCTTTTTTCAAGTAGGATTCTTTTGTAGTTCGATGTCCAGTGTTTTGATAATATCTCTCAACACAAAAGATTCTTTTTTTTTTCTTACTTTGGTAGTTCATACAGAATGTATCTAGGCATGTAGATATATTTCTTCATTCGATAAATATATTTTTCTTTCAGGTTAAATCTAGATTAGAATGACGATATAAAAAGACTTTATTTATACAGAACGAATACAAGGACAGACAACATTAACTTCAGTCTATAGAAGAGAAAAAGGATGCACTTTTAAACGCGCATATAAATATATATATATATATGGGTATCATATTCTCGTAAATACTTACATATCGATTCTTCTAGATATATTTAATAATGGCTAATACAAAGCAACCTGAATTAAAAGAGCCTGGTCCATCGGACAATCAAATCCTTGATTTTAAAAAATCACATGTATGTCATTTTATATTTTAATTAATTGATTAAGATTTTATATTAATAGAAATCGGAACAATTAACAACTGGTTATGGCCGTCCACTTGGTGATCGATCAACTGTTATTACAGTTGGTCCACGTGGACCATTGTTGCTTTCGGATTTTCCATATATTGAAGATGTTCAACGATTTGATCGTGAACGAATTCCTGAACGAGTTGTTCATGCTAAAGGGTTCCTTTTTATTAAATACAAAGTATACTCAATATTTAGTTTTTTTTCTATATTCTAGTGGTGGTGCTTTTGGTGTATTTGAAGCAACTGATGATTTATCAGATATTTGCAAAGCTAAAGTATTCAAAAAAGGATCACAAACACGTGTTTTAATGCGTTTTTCAACTGTTGGTACGTAATAAAATTTTATCGCGGATACATATCATAATTAATCTATTATTTATTCTAGCTGGTGAAAGTGGTTCAGCTGATACAGTACGTGATCCACGTGGTTTTGCAATCAAAATGTATACCGATGAAGGTAAATAAATATTAAAAAAAATAAAATATATTTTCTAAAATAAATTTTTGTAGGTATTTGGGATTTAGTTGGTAATAATACACCAATATTTTTTCTTCGTGATCCATTTTTAGTATGTTTTCCTAATATTTTATTATCCATAAAATTTGAATTTCTTCGTTTTATTTTACAAATAGTTTCAAATGTTTATTCATTCACAAAAACGAAATCCTCAAACACATTTAAAAGATCCAAATATGGTTTGGGATTTTTTTGCTAATCATCCTATGGCTACACATCAAGTAATTGAAAAAGAATTTTTTTATGTTATTAATTTAAATCGATTTCTATTAGTTTATGTTTCTTTACTCTGATCGTGGTGTACCAGATGGATTTCGTCATATGCATGGCTATGGTTCACATACATTTAAAATGGTTAATGATAAAAATGAATATGTTTGGGTTAAATTTCATATGCGCGTAGGAGGAATTGAATTTTTTCAATATTTTAAATAAATTTATTTCTTTTTTTCTAGACAAATCAAGGTATTAAAAATTTAGATCCAACAAAAGCCAAAATCTTAGCTGGTGAACAACCTGATTATGCTCTTGGTGATCTATATAATGCAATTGCTAAAAAAGAATATCCAAGTTGGACAGTTTATGTTCAAGTTGTTACTAATGAACAAGCAAAAAATCTTCCATACAATCCATTTGATTTAACAAAAGTTTTTTCACAAAAAGAATTTCCATTACGTCGTGTTGGTAAAATAACATTGAATGAAAATGCAGAAAATTATTTTGCACAAATTGAACAAGCTGCTTTTTCACCAGCACATATGCCACCAGGCATTGAAGCATCACCTGATAAAATGTTACAAGTAAATAAAATATTCCTAATATATATAAAAATACAGGGCTGCTGATCCTTTTCTCTGTTCTAAAATCTACGGAATACTAATCCGTTCGTTTTACCATAATGAATCATTTGGAACTTTTGATTATATTAATGGCGTTAATTTCATTCATTATATTAAATTCATTTTAGGGTCGACTTTTTTCATATGCTGATACACATCTTCATCGTATTGGAACCAACCATCATCTTATTCCAGTTAATAATCCTGAAACAAATAAAAATGTTAAAGTTTGTACTTATCAACGTGATGGTGCAATGCAAACTGGTCATAATCAAGGTTATTTTACTTGACTTAATTGAAAGAGAAATAAAAAAAACAAATTTATTATTTTTAATTTAGGTAATGCACCAAATTATTATCGTAATTCAATGAATGGTCCAGATGTAACTGATCGTAATAGACATATTGAACATGCAACATTAGAATCAGGTTTAGCAGCTCGACATGAAGCTAGTGACGATGATAATTATTCTCAACCACGAGTTTTCTATCAAGTATAACTAATAAGAAGAAAAAAAGCGAAAAATTTTTTATTTTGTCTTTTTTAGAGAGTATTAGATGATCGTGGTCGAGCACATATGATCCAAAATATTGCTGAACATTTAGGACAATGTACCTGTAAAGATATTATTCGTCGTGTAGTTGCTGTTTTTGCCAATGTTGATGATGATCTTGCAAAACGATTGGCTGATTTACTTAAAATTGATGTACCACGAAAAGTAATATTAAAATTATTGAATTTTTTTATTGCTTTTTTTTTTTGCTTTTAGTAGACATCACCACCAACATCTGTTAGATCAAAATATTAATATTTAATCAATAATTGACAAAATCGAACATTTCCATTTTTTTCAGCTAACCAACCGTTTGATTTTTTTTTCTTAGTTTTAACTGATTTTTGTTTTTTCTAACCTTGTGAACTTGCACAAAGAACATTTATAGTCATCCGTTTTTAGAACTTATTTTTTTTCAAATAAAACAAAAACTGATCATATATATAATATATTTATTTTCTCAGTGCATATTGCAAGTACAGCATTGCTCTACTTTTTTAGTGGTTATAAACGCAAAAAAACTAGAAGAATATTTCTAGCATAAACAAATTCAACTATTGTATTTATTACTTTATATCATTGTATAACGGAAAAGTTAATAGTTTACAGACGTAACACATACGTCAGAACAATATAAATATAGTTACAATATTCATTATTTTACTGAAACTTATTACCAACAAATATAACAATAAATGTTGTTAGAAACGGAAGTTTTAAACAAGGCTCTTTCTTTTTTGTTAGAGAAAATTAGATTTTCAGATTTTCTCCAGGTACGGTATGAATGCTTCAAATGACATACTCTTGATAGATTCTGTTTATGTTGATAATAATAATTAAAATATCAAGCATATATTCAACAAAAAAGTTATGACGTATATATCTTCAAATATTATTTGCAAATATTAAATAAAATACTCGTTTAACTATTGTGAAAGAGAAATAGAAATTATCAATGGAATAATATTTCCAAACAACGTCATGTGTAAATTATAATTTGACACATATAAAGAGTAATAGTACATGGTTTTTTACGCATATATCAGCTAATATTTGTTATTTACAACATGTTCACATAGATAAAATAAATTCGATGTTGTTATTTTATTGACTTGCTGTTTTGTCAAGGGTACAATAATTGTTATTAGTTTTTAAAAATTGACTGGAATTTTGCTATAGTATAATTATGTATATGGTATTTTTTTTTGACTTTATTTAATTACTTTCTTTTCGATAATGGAAGTAAATATTTACTATAGTAGACCTCATGAAATATGTTTTTAATTTTTGATCAACCTACACATTTCTAAAAACAACTCAAAAGCAATATAATTAAAAAGAAGTTTTAAAAGTACAATTTTTTTTTAGCTTATTTTATTTTATTAAACTGAACTTTTAAGTAAAAAAAGAACACTTTTCTCTTTTTATACTCCACAAAGCCTGGATAATATATTTTCCTACAAATTGTGACACTTTTATTTGCTTTTAAAGTCAGGAATATTGTTGTGTCTTTCATGATCATATATTAGTCAATAGAAATAAAATACAAGTTTTTTAATCTAAGTCCTCTATTGATTTAAGTAGACAAATAAATATTGAAAGAAAAAAAAATGAATATTCTTATAAAATTTAAGATGACATAGAAGAAAATTTATTTCACAGCTATAATAACAAACATAATTATAGCTTAATTCCTTTGATTTTTATAATACGTTACTATTATATATTTATTTACGCATTTAATTTTTTTTTCTTGAAAATAAATATTCATTCTTTGTTTTTGTTTTGTCTTTATATCCTTGTAATTAGTTTTAGTCTGGTGTAAAGAGTAAATAACAATGAATAAATAATAACAAAATGTATTTGACAAAGTAACAATAAAAAAAAAAGAAAGAATGGGTTTGACGTCATATGTTAGATAGACTCGGTTATATTCTTTTTTATATAATATTCTAGATGAAAAACTTGCTCAAATGAAAAATTGGAGAAATTTCTCTCAAACACAGTCGTCTGGAAGAAGAGAAAAAGAAAATATCGAAGAGAAAAGAAAAAGAAAAAGGTGAACATGTAAATATCATAGCCTTTGAAATATATGTCATTTTATTATTTTGCTTAGTAGCAGTGTGTGCATTCTTTCTGTGTGACGCTAGTTCGTTCTTAGATTAATTAGCTTCAACTGCTGGACAGTTTCGAAGATATTTACGTTGTCGTTGAACGACTATAGTGCCGCGCACCATGTCATATCAACATAATTCTCAAGTAGATTATTATTTTTTTATTTATAATATCTCTTATAAAATTATAATATAATATTTCAGTCATTATCATCGGAATCTACATCTGATGTTTATTCTTTGAAAGAAAGCAATAGTACACCATATAAACGACGAAAACAAACAGGTCAAGCTCTGGAAGCTTTAGGTCAGCTTTTCAAAAATGCAGCTAATGATGAATCAGATGGAAATCGATTTAATAAAAATGATATACTTAGTTTAACATTATCCCGTCTTTTACGACATAAATATTGGCCATCTGATCCATCTAACGGTAAATTCAATGGAAAGAATAAATAAATTTCATAATTCATATTTATATTAATATATAGAAAATGTTCAATTAGCATCTGATATACAAAGTTCATCTATTGAAAATGATCTTACAGGTTTTATTATTGTACTTAATACAAGTGGTCGAATTATATTAATCAGTGATAACGTGGAACAATATTTACGAAAAAATGTGGTATGTATACAAAAAAAAAAGATTTTTATTTTTATGATTTTTCCTATTTTATTTCAGCGATCACTTTATCCACAATTAACAACTATCTATGATTGTATAGGTAAAGATGATCATGAAGCTATACATCGAATGCTTTCAATACCAACAGTACATGAAAAATCTGCTATTTGTACATGGATATTACCAAGAGGTAAACGACCTAATCGATCACAAATAGAAACAAAGGTAAAATTTTCTTTTTCTCTTTGTTTATGATATATATATATATATATATATATATATATATATTATTTTTCTAGTCAATGCTCTTAACAGGTCATTTTTTCTCATTTGATAATAATGAAACTAAAGAACCATTATTTTTTGCACGTTGTGAACAAATTCTATCAAGTGTGCCATATGTTCCAACAAATAATAATGGTGTCCCAAGCGCAACAACACTTCGTTTTGTTCTTACTGATCAACTTAATATCAGTGAAATATCATCAAAGTTTGTTTTTCTTTTCTGCATATAAATACAAAAATTTCATATTTCTATTATTTCCTTTTAGTACGAATTTATTATTAGGTTACAAACCGAATGAATTAATCGATCATTCTATTCGTCAAATTTTACCATCGGAATGTCTTGATATATTAGAACAAGCAAAACAAAATTGCTGTAAGATTTTATTAGATTATTTTAATTCATTTTTTTTTCTTGTTCAGTTTCAGGTGAACATTGTACATCAATGAATGTACTCGATCTATTTACAAGCAATGGTGATCGACTTACATTTCTTTGTAATACACATATATTAATTGCAGGTCGACGTAAAGCAATGAAACTTGGTTTTATAGCTCAACTTATTGAGTAATGTTAAATATTTTATTTTTATGATTAAATAAAAACAAATCTGTCGTTTTAGCCCGTCAATTCGATATGAATGTCTTATCTATGCTAATAAACAAAATATTGAAAGGCAAAAAGCTTCTATACAACAAGAATCAATATTTATGTCAAATATGATATTAAATAATTCAACAACAACAAATGTTTCAATGGGTAGGTAAATATATTATATTTATTCCATATTACTACTAGGTTTTTATTTAATTTTAAGTATCAAATAATCAATATTTATCAACAAATAATGCACCAAAATATAAACGTCAACGAATTGATTATGAATATATGGAAAAGGAAAATTTTATTCATATTAATCAATATAAACAATGTGTTCAAATACCATATGAAATGAATTTTAATAATAAATTTTCATCATCGAAACAGGAACTTGGTCATATTGATGAACTTTTTAGTTGGCTCGATGAAGAAAACAAAAAAACAAATTATGACATGGCAACTTCTAATATTAATTATGATGAATTTGGTCTATTAACACCACCAATGTTAGAAATGAACTTCTTTTAAACAACAACAACAACAACAACAACAAATTTTTCCTTTTTAATGAAGTTCTTTTTTTTTCTTCTTTTGCGCAGTTCGTTGATCGGCTGTTTGTTTGTTTGTGTTCGCTTTTATGCATTAGCTGTCAAAATAATGTTGATAATGATAATGATTAATTCATGTAATAGCTGGTTCTCTTTGCATGATAGAGAAAAAAACATTATTATTATCTTCATTTTTTATGCTTTTGCTTTTTATCCTTTTTATTTGTGCCATGCATATTCAAACGATGAATACATTAAATTGCTTGTGGTACTTAATTAGTTCTTTATATTTATTCCTGCAAGCAATGAGCATTCTATCTTAATTCAATAAAACAAAAAACTTTTGGATATATATATAGAAATATAAAATATCCTCGAGTAAAAAAAAAGACTTTCACGTACATTAGTTCTTTATTTTTATCATGTTGATAATTATTTCCATTTTATAATCTCCACTTCAATGAATATATTATTCTAATGAGTTTAATTCTTAGAAAGTATGTCAAATGTATACTTAATTCAATTGTGCATAATTATGTTTATCGATGAAGATATTTCAATTCATTATTTCGTAAAATTCGATGAATGAACAGACATTAGATATGTCTTCCTAGCATAATATCAAATATATTTTATAATTTATTAGTTCTTTAGTTGATTAAAAGTAAAATTAGACTATTATTTATTCGTTCATTGTATATCACTTTCATCTTTATTATTGTTTTGTAAAATACTCTTGCACTAGTTAAACTTTTTAGGTCAAATATTATTAGAAAATTAGTAAACTCTGTAATTCATCGACTATTCCAGTTGCATGACAATATATATTGGCATTTATTTTTTCTCAGCTTCAGCAATGAAAAGTCAATTCGTGTTAATCTTCTATGCATGAGATGTCTTAAAGTCATTGAGTTAATGTCTCTCTGATTAAAGCATGACAATATGGCACAATTATCCTTTGTATTCATACGTGGATAAATGCTTTATGACATCAGTAATAGATAATACGGATAAATTGTTATAGTCGTCAGACTTTTAAGAACATTAAAATATTTTATTAGTCAAAAAAAATATTAGCTGTTAAATCTCGACAAATAATATTTGTTAAAATTTTTTATTTGTAGAAAGAAGGTGGAAAGTGTTCTTAATTGTTTGTCGACAAACATTTACATTTGATGAAATTAATATTGAAATATACAATTAAATTCTTTGCACTGACGTGCTGAGAGTAGACCATGACGACCCTCTCTCACACCTGCTTTTAGATTTTAAACTTAGAATATTAAAAATATGACGCATGGTAACTCGACGCGTCTCTTGTAGCTCGATTTCACACCTGTTCAGTGTCAGGTATATGACAAAAGAACATCTAAATATATTTTTATATTAGTCATGAATGTCACGTTATAATATCATTTTTATTAAGAATTGAAAAACCAACTAAATTTTTTATCTTTTGTCATAATATTAATGAAATAAAGAAATCAATTCGAGCATTATTTACTTTAAGAATGAGAAAAAAAAGAAGAAACAATAAAAAAAAAAGCACAACAAAAAATGATGAGTTCATTAATTAAAGAGAAACAAGATAAAGATTATGTATACATACGACATAATATTTTTTTTGCTTTGCAAATATCTTTTTTTTCCATTTGAAATTTAATAGTGATAAATATCACTATTAAAAGAGAATATTAAAGAAGAAGAAGAAGAAGAGAAAGAAGAAAAAAAGAAGAACTCTATTTATATACAATACACATAGAGATAGTAAATTGCATCAATTTAAAGACAAAAGAAAAAAACACGAAAAGAAAAAGAGAAGTTTGTAATATTAATTGATCAGAAATTTATTTTTTAAACAAGATCACTTTTACTTCCAATTAAGCCATACCGGAATCCGCTAAAAGATAAAATAACAAAACATTATATTAACTATGTCAATAGAAAAATATAATCCATTACCAATAGCAAATTTCGAAAGCATAGTATGAGCAGATGCAGTATCACGTTCGAGCGAATTCATTCTAATATATGCATACCATGCTTTTTAGAATACAAGCTAAGCAATCAAAATTTTATTTACCTTGCAGTCGATGTTATATTTCGTTGTTGAATAATATCATCTTCTGTTTGATCATCTTCCGGTCTAAACAAAATCAATTGCATATACAGAGGTTTTAATTTTTTTGATATAGCTTTAAATAGATACTAATTATATGCATGAGTTGAGATCGATATTACTGTTGTTTCATAAATATAGCTTACAATTCAAATTTTACCTTGTGTAAGCGGATCGATCGATCATCTTACACTATTGAACCAATGATTATTGCGAAGCCGCTTGGAACTACCCGCGACCGTTATTCATACGAGCTAGTATAAAATTGTCAAAATTCAAGAGCTACGCACTACAATGTATCGAGGCTAATAAAGTAGGTTGCGAGTCTCACACAGGCGAAATCATTATTTTGTCTCTAATAAACTCGACGCAGTGTTTTATCCAGCGAGTGGACGCCGCCCACCCTAAATTTCGATTCGCTTATACGAAAAACGAAACCTAGATAAAACACTGGATCTAATGCTTAAAAAGCGCATTACATAAACTTGTGCAATCTCTTTTATGTGAAATGAATATCTTACTTAGCAAGATAAGCTGGTGTTTGATATTGAGATAATGTTGTTTGTATTAATTCAGTATCTCCATCATATAGTGTTCTAGATTGAAGTAATTCAGTTGGACTCATTATTTTAATTTTTTGTTCTAAAATTCAACAATTTTAATTTCTTTTATTTTAATAGAATTTTTATATTTACCATCTTCTTCTTTCATATGTAATAATTCATGCTCATTAATATATTTAAATTGTCGAGCTAAATATATTTGAACAAAAAAAAATAATCTTAAAAATTAACGTTTTTTTTTTGTAAACATACGTTTAGGTTTTGGTCCAGAACTTTGCAATCCACTTTCGAAAAATTTCTTCTTATCTTTAAATGATTTTTCTGATTCAGTTACTGATAAATCCGACTAAAAGAAATATATTTTTTTTAAAAAGATTCTACACATTTAAATATAATTCTATACTTCATCAATTTCAAAACCATTTTGTGATTGTCTTCTTGTCGAATGATTATTATTATTATTGTTATTATTATTAATATTATTATTATTATCACCATTAATTGGTACAAATTGTGTAACAGGTGAACGATATTTTGGTTTAGCAGGAACAGGTGGTGGTTGAGGAGATATTTGTTGATTAATTGTATTTGCATAAACTGGACTAATTATTTTTGGTGAATGTGGAGCATTATGAGGTGATGATACGCCATTATGTCTAATTGGTGGTATTGGTGAACTAGATTGGTGTGTTATTATCGATCGATTATTATCAATTTGTTTCAAGGATTTAGTTGGACTTGTTATATTATTTGTCTAAAGAAAAATTCAAAAGATTTATTTATGAAACAAAAAAAAAGAATATTTTACTTCTTTCGATTTAAATCCATGACAGATTAATAAATGAATACTGTCACTTTGTATACTAAGCCATTTTTGTGCATCATCTAATCGTGCACCAAATAAACTTTGACTATTAACCTAGAGTAAATTTTTATATATGATATAAATGAAGAAATATAATATTAAATATGCCTTCAGTTTTTTTTAGCCTCATTCGTTGTTATGTAATATGAAAAATTTTATAATAAACTCAAATAATATATAAGAATAAGTAAATAAAAACTAAAAAGTCTCATCACAATTTCATACATAACGGCTCGAACTAAAATCTGACCAATTCCCGGAGGTACTGGTGGTTCAAGTCGATTCTCAATAGTAGTTTCTTCATCGGGTATAATCATAGGTATTTCTTCGGCAATTTCTAATAAAGATGATGTCAATGCATCAAGTGTTTTATCTCGTTCATCATTATTATCACTTGTCGAATGTATAGCATAGATAATTTCGTTAATTTCACATAAATTTAATTGTTTTGTTTCGTTTAATATTGCATGTTGTTCAGATGATATCGATAATAAATCAGATTGATGATCATTTAAAGAAGAATTCGATGATAAATACATATCGATAGCGTGAAAAAGTTTAAGCGAATGTTGAGATATTTTATCAAAATTAATTGATAATAAACTTTTAGTAGAACAATAACGACATTCTTCTTCATGATTTGATTTTATAGGATAATTTGATAACGATGTATAAGAATATATAAATAATGATTTAGGTGTTGAAATTGATGATACAGGATCGAATGATAAAGATTTATAAGAAGGTTGACGGATAATTGATAATTGTTTTGGTCTAGGTATTGATTTCGTACTATTCGGTGAAGATAATGTCATCGTTTTATCTTTAACTGTGACAATAGGTGTAAGAATTTGTTTTGTCAATGTTAATTTAGTTTTTTTAGCACATAATGTCGATGAACAACATGATTTTGTTCGTTTTCGACTCGATTTCTTTTTTCTTATATGTCCACTTGATTGTAAATGTTTTATTTTTTTTAATGATAATTTCCCTTTGAAATGAATAATATCATCAAGATTTGTTTCATAACAATTTCCTATTGTTTCATCAATTGGTGTTGATAATGATGATGATGTATGACTATTTGTTGAAAAAGAATTTTGGGATATACAACACCATTGTTTATGATATCTATTATTGACTGCCTAGAATAAGTATTTATTCTCGACAAATAAGTAGAAATTTTAGGTTTAAGCATATATGGGCGAATTTACATGAAGCAATAGCAGCTTGAAAGATGAATAAATTCATATGGAAAATAAATTAAATAATGACCAGATATTAAATTATGAATGACCACCATCACCGCATTTATA